GATTTTAAATATCTCAAGTAATTTCATGCTGTAGATTAGGGTTCCTTAATTCCTATAGTGATCTAATTTGACTATATAACACATGCACACAGTCTGGAAGCTTTTCTGAATGGCTAGGTGTTGCACATTGGAGGGTAACTACAAATCTGATGTACAGAAGACAGACAGTAAGCACAACAATTGGTGACAAGGACTATTAACACCCAGTCTGGGGTCTCCTGGAAAATAAGACACCAACATTCAAGTAGTCCCAGTACATTTGTCCTTGGTGTTCTCATGCAGACAGCACTTTGTACTGATCATTACACACTATGTCGGCTTGGGGCATTTTCTGTGGATACATGATTATTCATGGTGGTAAAAGCCAGAATTACACTCTTAGGGTTCTTAGGCTTTCTGCTTTAATTACAAAATGACAGATTTTTTTCTTGCATAAAATCACATATAAAAACAAAAATATGATTGCAAATTACAGTGTGTGTAAGAGGGCAGGAAGCACATACAGGTTTTTCAGGATGCACACTGTACACAAGCTTAGCCAATTTAAGGAAAAGATTACGGTACATTACTGTACTTCCAGAAAGAAAAAAAAAAAAAAAAAAATCTTACAAAAGTTCCCAATCTGTTAGAGATACTTAAAATATTATTATAAAGTACATTCTGTAGCTAGTTAGAAGTCTAAATATAAAGTGTCAGAAATTAAAAATCTCTCAGGGTATATATTCAAGCATTTCAAACTACTGTAACTGAACATCATGCAGGTGTACTTCCTAGCATCATTTCTTTGTGGGCCTCATCGTTTCCTTCCCTCACCCATTACGCTGCAGGATGGCTTACCCACAAAGGAGGATAAACGAGTTTAAGTGTCTAATTTAAGCAACCACCAATACATCCAACACACTTCCCATCCTACTTAGTGTTTATTATTCTCTTCATACAGGCAGGTGTAATGAAAGTCGATTTCTGTGACAGCAGTTTTCTTATTCACGGTCTTTGATTCCTAGATTTCTTTTGTTTTATGGTTTCCATTGGCACTAAGATTCAGTGACTTTGTACCTCATGTTCCACTTTACTGTAAAAAGTAACAGCAAAAGTTGCACTGTGGTCTTCTGCATTAATATTGTTCAATGAGATCAGCTCTGTTCTACTTCAAAATGCAAAACAAAATATTTCAGGATAAAAACCAATAGTCTTTTAAAACCTATGTGGGAAGACACATGTAAGAAGCTGAATCAGTCACACAATCCACCCTCACCCCAGTGATCCTGACCTGTTTAGAATGAAGGAAGTGGAGGACAGTCAGATACGAACACGGTACAAGAGACAGCAGTAATGAAATGTGAGTATTTGTACAAACAGGCATCTGAAATGCAGTAAGAAAAGAGCACAGTTTTGCACCTGTATTAATTCAGTTATCCTACGTGATTAATGCAATGATCAGAACTTGGGAGTTGCAGGTCAAAGTTAAGCTAAACTGAAAAACAGAAGTCCTTCATTAAACAAAAATCCAACAGCTTAAGTGAATTTTTTTCTTTGCCCTTAAAATTTATAGCATATATAAATTTCAGTTAAGTGAATTAAAACTTCCCTTTTTGCCATTGCTGCAACTTCGTGAATCAATTATTAAACTGAGAACTAGTCATATGGAAATGATGAAAAGCGTGGTGAAGTCTGAACACTGGCTTACACAGGAAACAAATCCATGAAAATCTCTCTCAGAAAAGACAGCCCATCAACGAAATTTGAAAACCATCTACTACAAAAGAAAGACATTTCAGATTTTGAAGACATGCAGGCTTTTCTGTGGTGGTATCCAGACAGGAACACAACACATGAATAGTCTGTTAATGTTTTTAGGCTAAGACTTCTGGCTGCAGAGGTGTACTGTGGAAGTCTTGCAGAAGCTTTTAAGTGCTAAACATGAGTGAAGTAAGGGTTCCTTACAACAAGTAACATTTACTGCTTACAAGTAAATGTTACTTGTAAAAAGTCATTTATTGCTTTAAAAGCATTTATGTAAAATTCACTACCATTTTGACCCTACCTCCAGAAGGGAGACTATTTTTTCCATCTTCTCCCTCGCCCCAGTATTCTAGACTTCTAATGAATTGACAAGTAGAATGAAGAAGCTAAGGAACATTTTTTTTTTTTTTCTTCCAAATTGTTCTGCGTTTGCTCTGAGCAGTTAGAAAGTATATGTTTCAGGATATAGTGAGACCAGATGAGGAATATACTAACCATGATGAAGAGCCACAAGCCTTAATGCCTTCTCCTTCACATGACTGGAAGTACATCCACCCACCATGTGGTCAAAGTCATGCGACAAGAAATGTGGTTATGTGAATGAAGACAGAAGTTCAACCAAACAATTGCAGGGGGGCAGGGGACAGAAAAGTTGCAGGGTTCTAGGTAAAGAGGCAGCAGGGAGTGGCCCTGGTGCACTGTCCTGTATCACTGTCCTACTAACAGTTAGTTTGAACCTCAAAACAAGAGAAATGAAGAAAAATATTAGGACTTCAAGCATGGGTGGTTTTTTGTTTTATTTTTAGTCTAGAATAGTACATACTATAAGATGTCTGGACATTTTACATTCATCAATTTCATAGCAGCCAGCAAGGCAAGTCAGGAAGGCTATACTTCTTGACCTGTGATTGAAGATTCCTGCAGACAACCCTGGAGCATGTAGAAAAAAGGCAGACAGCAGGCTGGGAACACCCAGTGCACTTCCACTTGTTTCTGGCACAAGAATGAAACACACATATTTTTGCACTGTGGAGCTCTCTTTGCTCCCTTCCTCCCCCTGCTCCAGGAGTATCATCACTGACTGACACCAGTGCTGCAGAAGTCCTATCTTCCTGCATTAGCTGTCATCACTGTCCGTGCCCTCCTCCTGCTACTTGCAGTACAGCCCTTATTCTCTTCCAGTAGTAAATATTCCTCCGCTTTTCCTCTCAATCTTCTTCAAACTGACATCACCACCTTTTACCTGACCTTATTACTCCTACATCTCCTACCCAAGTGCCTGCCTTTTCTTCTCCCTCTCCACCTATCTCCGCAGGGTGGATTGTTTGGGTTGTGAGGTTTTCAGGGGGTTGGTAGTTTTTTAATTTATTTTTTAGATTACCTGATTGGTAATTACCTATTTAGAATTACCATTTCCTTCTTCTCTCCCCCCTCTCCTGACAGACCCTCGAGGACAGAAATTTCCCATCCGCACACTCCATTCTCATTCTGCAATGAAGTGTTTTTTTTCCAGAGGGTGAGTGTATAAATGTCTGGGGATGCTCCTCAGGCACAACAGCAAGAATCAGGCCACAGGGCCATGTGGGGAGGCTGCAGCTCCTGCTCCCACTTCTTTGAGGTGCCACTCACACTTTCAGTTTCACATGTTAGTAATAAAACTGCCTCCTTGTCACACACTTCTCCAGGGTAGATTCATGTGCAGACTCTTCCTTCACCACACTCTCTGGCAGAAAGATTTTTACAAGTAATAGTGAAATCAGAGATGAAAAAAACAGGTGTGTTCATAGAAAGGAAGTGTACAGCATGAAGGATAAGCCCAAACATGTCTGGTATCTTCAGTCATAGTGAAAACACTTCAGAGTTCTCAAAGGAACATGGGGGAAGGTAGAGAGAATGAAGGAAACAGAAAATTTAATGTTAGCCATTTACCAATTTTAAAATGAAATTCAGCATACTTTGAGTATTTTTAGGGTAAAGCATCAAATTTGATTGCTACTTGACTTACATACTTCAAGAATAGTGTTCAGAAGCAGAAAGAATAAGGTAAAATAGATATTTTACATGTAGTACCTGAGAAATGAAACAGTGCTTTGCAGGCTTTGCTCTCAATATGGAGAACAGTGCAATTGTGTTCTGCAAGTTACACCTCCTTCTAAGGAAGACGGGTAAGAGATTTTTACACACACTTCCTGTTCCCTAACAGACTCTCGCTCCACAGTTCATTTGGATTTTTAAGACAGTAAAATATGAAACAGTAAAGGAAAACATTCAAGTAGAATTTACAAACTTCCAAAATTAAAAGTTGCTGTACAGAACTGAGCTCACAGAAATGAGCAGTAGTTTCAAAGGTTTCACTGTTCTGTCAGTACTCATGTAATTCACATAAATTAACCTTACATCAGTGCACTGCAATCACATCACTTAGTAAAGTTGAATAGGAATAGAGCTATCCAAGAATTAAGCTGGAGGCTAATTCAGATGATTAAAAACACTGGCCATTCATCTACATTATTTAACACACCAAAACACATGTACTTAATGGGAATTAGAAAGTAGTAAAGTCAAGATGTATGTGTCCTCCAAAACTGAGTAAACCAGCATAAGCAGTACCAAATGATATTAAATTGCAAGATAAATTATTAGAGCCATGAAAGGTATGACACAAAGAACACGAAAGGAAGTTTGTCATCTTATTGAAGAAACAGGTATTTGAGATCTAATTAGAAGCCTTACTTTGAACAAAGGAATAGGAATGTTAAATTGACATAAAGTAATTAGCAAATTAATCAAGAATATACTTCGTTAAGAAAATTAGGGAAGGAAATCAATCTAGATAAAGTATATGTGGTTGCACATACCATGAATATCAGAGTCTAGTCTGTTGGGGCAACAAGACAATTTAATGCTATCAAAAATAATTTGTTAAATTACTTGAGGGTTGCAAAGTACCTGGACCTCCTGTCAAAGTTAGTAAGAGTTAGATATGAATATTGACCAATCTGGTTTTATTATGAGCACAAAGGACATTTGCATATCATAATTCTGCTGGGCTTCTCATCAGGGGGTCATGGCCAGGGAGGCACTTGAAATAATGCCTAGAATTCATGAGAAGAGCCGTGAAACCAGATCCAGTCTACTTCAGGTTAAAATCCTTATCATGCTTTGATGGTTTTTGTACCACAAGGAATATTCATAGATCTGTCATCTATGTCTACCTCAACATTTAAAGTGAAAAGTAAACTGACAGTATTGCCTACCTGAATTTTTCAGCTTCAGTTACTCTCGTCCTTCCTTTAAGCTGCAAGTTATTCACTGAAGAGATCCTCAACTCTATAAAGAGCACAGAAAGAGGGAAAAAATGGCGTAAGTAACTATCTATTACAGCTCCTAATACAAATTAGTTATAACAAATATAATGTAACTTCATGTTATCAGGAAGAGAACAGCTACCAAGAGTAAAAGAAAACGGCTATCAAGAGTCAGGAGTTTTCTCCAACTCTTTCCCTTTGCAGAGCACCACAGATGTCAGAACACTTGAGCTACTATTTGTGAGTGAATTAGAGGATTAGAGGCTATCTTGTTCACGGCTGTGTTGGAAGAAACCTTCTCTAACTTGTGCACTCTCAAGTGCTCTGTATTCTTATCCTAATATGTTTACACACTGTTTAAAATATATATATAGTTTATGCGTGTATATATATGTGTGTGTGTCATAGTTCAAGGAAGCAAGTAAGGAGCATGGGTTCAAAAGCAGTAACTACTTAATTTTAGCTGCTCCCTTTGCTAAGGTCAAACCTTAATGTTATCAGGAGCTGGTGGGGACGCCCTAAACCAGATGTATATGCCAGCATTTTTGTGTGCAAGGTCAGTTAGATAATCCTTCTTATTGATCAGCCTTCAGATCACTGGCAATACCAGGTAGTTCAGGAAATAACTGGTTTGTACTAAGTGCCCAATTAAAAATGAAGTCTCATGACCTGTGTGAGGTTAGCAAACAAATCTGTTACTGAATTATTGTCCATGACATCTGCTACCAAGTTCAGCAGTTCTCAGTAAAAGGAAGAATGGAATACAAGCACTGCAGGCAGTAACAGAAAGGAAATTAATTCATTAAGAGCTGGCTCTGAGCAACAAGAATCACTGCTTTAGAATCTGCTGTTGAAGTAGCAGTGGATTAGTTACTGGTGTTAAACCTGTATTCAGAAAGAAAACCCCAACAAACCAGAACATCCCTGTATTCAGAGAGCATTCACCTGTAATGACAAACTGTCACGATAGCATTCATATATCAAAATGGGCTTCAGAAGAGACAGAAGCTGTGAGAAAATCTGCAAAGTCCAAATAATCCAGTTCACACTTCAAACGCTCATGTGAAATAAGGTAAAAGTAATAGTAAATTAAATTGTATGCATCTCTTCTCTTTGGTAGGGCAATATTTTGTAGATTTTATTTTAAAACGAAAACCAACTCTCTTCTACACTTGAGCTCCCTGGTGTTTTATCTTTCACAATACATAGCAAGACATTTTCTTGCCAGCTTTCACTGAGAAATTGTCACATTTCAGCCCTTCCTTGCTCACAAACTAAGGAACTGAGTCTTCTGTTTTCTTCCTCAGACTGATGACATAAACCAGATTTAAAAACTAAAATTATTTTTTATCTCTACCCTGTAGTTTTCCAGAAAAGACTGTCAGAAAATTTATTGACTAGAAACAAAGAGCTGAGGCAGATGAGAGCAAGTAAAATAGGCTATAAATGAAGAAAAATGGTAAATCAAGGTAAGATGTCAAGAGACAGCTTTGATCACCTTTTTTGTTAGGATAGAAATCTGGGTGGTCAAAAAAGAAAGACTTCACAACAATGGATTACTAAGAGGAACAGTACTAGGAAGCAGCTATAACTCCCTTTGTGAAAATAACGTTTGATGACTGCATAGCCCTGAAAGTGACACAAGGAGAGCAGCGAATAAGATTTGAGTCTCCTTCCTTTGGCTAAGGAGTCAGACAATAGTCTTTAGTTACCTCAGAATAATGAAGAGGAGACAAAAGTAAACTTTAATTGACAGAACAATAAACTTGACAGACTATATAAAAGGTGTAGTGCTGTTTGATGAAGGGCTAGAGAACTACAGGTCCCAAGATGGGACATGTAGTCAGAGCAAAGCAGGAGGCTATCAACATAATTGCAGAGACACACAGGGAAAACACTCCAATATCATAATGCTCAGGCTCCACATAAACTATCTTCAGAATCCCTGTAGGTAGAATTCTGACAATTTTTCTTTCCCCTGGTAAAATAACTGTATCACAATAACCTGTTCCTCAAACAAAACAGCTGAGCAACCAGCTAATAACACATGGCACTGCACTGGTTGCCCAACAAATTCAGTAAGAAGGCATATAAAATCCTTAAAGCCATCAAGGCAAATATGCATTTTCAGAGTAGATGTCAATTTTGTAACTGAATTTTCACTGAAAGTTGGCTACCTTCTAGGTTAAAGACTCTGTGGACAATATCTGATGTACATATAGGAGAACAAATTAATTTAACTGTAGTTAAACATGGACCTCCTCACTCAAATTCAATGCAACTGAAATCAAAATGGAGAAAGATTGGTATTAGTAAATTTTACTGAAACTGAGACAATTATGCACCGTGAAATGTTAGCACAGAGTACCATTAATAGCACACATAACATCCTAGAAACGTGTAGACTGCAGTTCTCTATAAAGCCATTTCAATATGTAGCAATATTTATACAAATGAGGTAACAGTAGATAGAACAGTATCTATATTTACGACTTTTAAGGCAAATGTCTTCCTCCACCCCTCTCCTCAAAGAAAAATAGACTAACTAGAATGTAAATTAATAACACTTTCCTAATCTGTAGCATTAGAAATCTAGGGTCATGATGATGTAAGAGCAGCAGGACAGAACAATGAACTTGTACAGTAACATTTTAAAAAGTCAGTCACAAATGAGATCTGGACCAGTAATTGTAAGTCATTGTGTCACAGCTGTCAGATGAATAAAGCCTGTAGATTAAACCCACATTCTAATGGACAATTTAATTCACACAAACATTTCTACAAATGGTAGACTTCTGGCTTGAAAGGCTATTAAATGTACTGGCATAGAACACCAGCCAGCAGCGTGGAAAGAACAGTTGTTTGCAGGTACTGCCAAGGCACACTACTAATCCATCTGTAACCACTTTCTATGAAGTCTCGACAGCATATTGCAGACTTGCCCACATCACTCATTCATCAGAATGTCAGTTATAAATAGCAATTGTCTAAGTGTTAACATTTTCATGAGAATTTGAAGCATTGTGCTCTTCTGAAACTCTGTTTTCAGAGCTAACAATTCAGTATACTTCCTGTATTTCTAAATAATTACTGATTTAACCAGCTAGAAGATGTTGCAACATTAGCATTCAATTTCATCATTATCTGGACATTATGTGCTCAGATGACTTCTTAATTTACTTATTCCATCACAGGTTAAAAATCATGTTATCATTTTTGAGAAGTTCAGTATAAAACGTGTATGAAAACAAAGATGACAAACCGTGAATCAATATAAATAATATACAGATTACCTTAGAAAGGTGAAACATATCAATTAGTACAGTACTTCTACTGAAGAGATGCATATTCTTTTAAAGAACTTAAATGCCAAAGAAGTCTGTTGACAGGGCAGCTACAAAAGTGTCATAATCATTAACTGATTTGAGAAAATTAATGCTGTTATTACTAAGTGTATCAAATACAGAGAAAAAAAATCATTAATGACGCCCTGTAGCATTTTCCAAGTTGTTTTCTGATTACACAGAACAGACTGAAATTTGACAAAGAACTTGAAAACACTATATATGTTAAGTGTAAGACACAAATGCATTTTTAAATCTTAGGGAAAAGTATTTTCTAAGCTAAAGAGGCCATGAGTTTACCATAGATGAGGAGTTAAACAGCCTGCAAATATTCAGGCCTTTGCATTAAAAAAATAATAATAATTAAAAAAATCACATTGAACACTGAACTTCAGTTTCACCAATTTATCCATAAGAAAATTATAATCTAAACTTTATGGATTTTGTTATCTTCATTAGAACACCTTTTTCATTGTTTTGCAAGCTATTAAAAGCAGAAACAGAAAAAATACCAAAAGATTAGTTTTGCAACTGATAAGTAATTTTCTCATCTCTATATACATATATAGTATATACACACAGATTTACAATCATCCTTCCATTCCAGTTAACAGCAAAGTTACATACATACAGAAAATTACAACAGGTACACCAATTATTTAATAGAGCTATATGAACGTGGAGTTAATAAATATCAATGAGTTCAGAGCTGTGTGTATTTGGAATCAAAAGAGCGATAAGGTATGTAACATAAACATAAGTTGAGACACAGAGAATCATGAAAGCTCATTTTAGTTTCTCCCATTCCTATCAGAAGGATATAAGTCTCAAAATCAAAGTCCTTAGAAGATAGCAACATTAAGACATTTCAATATTTTATAATGTTCATATTTACCTTTAGGGGGAGATTTCTGCAGACCAACAAAAAAAAGCAAATAACCCTCTTGGAAACTACTAGGAGTCAGACACATATAAGGTTGACCTCCAGATCATGTTTATCTGTGCTGGCATCAAGCTTTCCTGTTCTCTGTTCTAAGGAAATTCTTCAGCTCACCACTGACACAGGTGTATCTACATCAATGACTAATGGATGACACTATGAACACACTAAGGAGAAAACTCAAAGATACCTGGGTGAGAGGCTGGAAGTACAGAAATTCAGCTATGTAAGCCATGAAATCATATATTTCACTCTAACTAGACACACTGGATTTTTAGGATGGAGAAACTCAGTATGTATTACAGTGCTGGAGAGGCTAAACCTTTCAAGATGAGAAGGAGAAAGTATCTGTGTACTAATACTTCTTTCTCAGATTATATTACTACCACACAACCTAAATTTAACAGTGATCTCTTTCACTGTATGTAAAGGCTTTCCTTTTTCTTAAGGAAAAGGCTGAAAGAGGCTAATATCATCAGGGGTTTTTATGGGAGGAAAGTGCCTTTAATAGGATGCCTTTCAAAAGCAAGTACTGTTTTCATACCTGCCAACACAGACTTTGAGAACCTGACACGAAAAACTTAACTGATTTATCAGATAAAGGATGTAATTTACTTAAATTTATGCTACAAAATCTAGTATGAATAATCAATTAGCTGTCTGCTTTAAATCACAGAGGTGACAATCAACCTGTGTGCTACTACAAATCCTGTACATAACAGAAGTAGACAGGTCGAGGT